AGGGATGTTGTTAGAAGATATGGGCTCCAGTCTACTGACCTAATATAGTTGTTCCTGGAGTCTTTGTCAAGTTTTTTGGGATAAGGCGGATGTTACAAAAATCGAGTGCTGGTTTTGAGTTTAAGGGGGGGGCATTTCCTTCTGCAAGGTATCTACTTCACAATTTTTAAGAATATCCGAAGGTAACTAAAGCACGCCCTAAAATTTTTGTCCTTATGGGGAACATATGCTTGGGTTATTATACCATCTATTGGCTGTGAACTACCAGCTAAATATCTAACTGCAGTAATTTGGTAACCTCCTGTGTTTAATCCATCATATTGTATCACCCTCCGGCTGACAGGAGTTGGCGTAGAAACACCTGCTGTTGCCTTGCCGTGTATGTGAACGGGTTTGAGCCCTGCTTGTAACGGAAATTTTACCCTATTTCCAAAGATCGGGATATTTTCTGCTTCTGTGATATATTTTTGCGTCGTCTACCAATGCGAATCTGACGAGTGGTCCGAGGCGTTCGTTAACCGCCAGATTTTGTCTCACGTTGATGAGACATTAAAGTCTGTGTTTACCGTTGCTTTGTTCGCAGGGATAACCTCCTGGGAGTGATGAAAGCAGCGGTACAGGAATACTACGAAGACCGCCATCAACAAAAACTTCAATCTACTCGTGAATTATTTCAGAATGACGTGTTTTCTACATAATGGTGGAGACCAGAGTTTGGTATGGTCTAGGGACTTGAAATCCGAAGCAAGTTTCAAACGATGCGCTTAGTCTAAAAGAGAGTACACCGGTATCATATCAGCGTTGCACAGAACAATCGCTCAGTCCACCTACAATATTATGTTACTAGAAACAGAATGATGCCTGAGCAATAAGCTTTTGATATCTCTGAGTTGGACTTAATGCTAAAAGTTTTATGCCCTTAACAAATACATCTTTTCCAGCTTCTAGCTCAGGTACCTATGGCTGGACATCCAGTGACAGAAATGAACAAATCGATCAGATTTAAACAACTGCCAAACACCCATTAATCCATCAGATAACATAAGACTAGTGAATAGTAGCTATTAAACATCCAGATTTGTGAACAGCCAGCTAATTAAACCTCTGGCTGAAACCAAAGTTCTACAAAATACCCGAGACGCGTAGTTCTCCTAATCCAAAAATTAGTTAACACGAAACGTAGGTCCACATACCGTATATCTCGCATATATCATATTTTTTTCGTATTAGAATGCCTTGGAATTCAGGTCCTATTAACTTAATACAAACTCACAGCTTGCTCACTATTGGTCAAGCAAATGCCCAAAAAGAGAGTTTAAAGTGCAGCCGAAATGTACAAGTAAATTCTAGGGTTTTCGAGTGCTCCAAGGAGGCTGGTGGACCCCAAGACATGTTAAAATAAGCATATTCTGTTCTATCTTTTGATTTAGTAAGGTTTACTGTGGTACGGCCAACATATTACCCTGTGCTTACTTGAGTTCTTTTTTAATAATTTGTGATCTTCGGCAGCACAGGTTTTGCTTGTAGCGTACTTAACCTCTGTTGCATAGTCTTCCCTCTTTTTCTTTTCAGGGTGCTCTAAGACACTTTTTATTCATCGTTTTCTTTTTATTCGGTTGACACAGCTGATGAAGCTATGTTCGGGTGGACTTTATTATTTTTCTGCAGTTGCGTTTCAGCGATCTCCTCTCTTTAAGGAAGCAATGTGAGAGATTTCTCAACTTCTTCATCTACTCTTCGGTCAACTGTCTCCTCCATTTCTACAAATTTTTAAAGGAATCCATGGCATGCCATAAAGGCTTCGGCTTCATATGTGCCATATATCCAACTTAATAAACTCCTTGTCCGTTTATTGGGAGCTAAAATAATGGAGAGAATACAAAGTTGCAGTTGATTTAACTGCGATTTGTGTTTAAACGTTCACTTATTTCACACCTTCTGCCTCACGTCTATGATCTTGCGGCGATTCCGTTGGTCACGCCATACCGGTGACGAGGTTCAATTCCGATCTGCGGAGGATTTTCTGCCCAATGTCCTGAAGACCTGTTTTCGACTCACACTAAAAACTGAAAAAAGCGGGGCGTATTTATTGGTGGTGACGAAACGAGTCAGTCGCTCGTAGATTTATAGAAGCCCGTCGTGCTGTGGACAAAGAAGCGGCCAAGGGAAAAATGTCTTTTCTCATAAAATTTCGATGCAATCTTGTGAAAATGGTGATATCGCTGGTAATAATCTAATTCATTCAAACAGCAGGCTGCAAGAGCGGCGGTAAATCGAAAATCCGAAGGAAGGGAGTATCTTGGCGATCCAAAATTTGAAGCCAAATATCGATACACGCGGTCCTTATCAGCCAGCTTCTGCCAACCTGCCGCTCACCTTTAATAGTATTTCATTTAATCCCTCGATTGAGACTTTACTTTGTCGCCAATTCATGGGAATCTTCAAAATAATACTGAAAAAGCCGGTTTCGAAATTGGACACCATTGTTAAAAGGACCGCCGCATTTCTACCGGCCAGTCGAAATTTAATATGTGTCCATCGAAAATGAGGATGGGTGTGCGCTGCAAATCTTGCAGATCTGTTGGAGACGTAAAATGATATATCCCTCCCTGAATCATCGTTACCATCCCCAACGTTAGCATATTATACAAGTTTAAACAAAAACCTGACACATATTGGCCTGGATTTGGTCGACAGACAAATTCTTTGTCCAACGTCATTTTATTACTGAAAAATGAAGAGCTGTGGTCAATTTGCTTCACATTAACTCTTAAGGTGGCTTAATTCACACTGTTACTGCGGGGTTAGCATCACCGCGCATTTTAAAGCTGTCCAATAGTTTTGGAGTACGCGATCGGGAATTCCCTGATGATTTCTTGTTAGATCAAAGTCCTTCATTTTAATTTACGGCCTCAAATAATTTAAAACAGAACATTTCTGGTAAATTATTTATTTGCGTCTCTGGTGCTTTGAACTCTATCATTAATCATGATAGTAACTTTCTACCAGTGAATACGAGGATATTTCTAACATATGTTAGGGACCAACAACTGATTGCGTTTAATAATTAGTTCGTCCCCTGCTGTTCACTTAAAAAGGAAACTGTCTCCTGGGACAGCACGCAATACTTGTCGCCACTTGTTTGAAGGCAAGGGTTTGACCAAGTCTTTCAATATTGAAAGATATCCTTGACGTAAAATCGCCCGCAACATAAATGGGAAGGAGTAACATTGCTCAAAGATTACGTCTGAATCCCCGAAGGAAGTATTTTTGCGGTTCTATATTCGTGATGATTATAATCATCACGAAGCCATAGCTTACTTTTGAAAGAAGTTCAGTAGTTCTTTAGAATATTCTGTCAATGACATCATCGATAAACCGTTTGATTCAGCAAGCTACATCGAGTACAACAATTAATTTTGGTGTTTCCGCTGGTCTATGTGTTTGGACCTGATACGAAATACCGAACTACTAATTTAGGAGGTGATAACATTTTGTGCTCACTTGCGTTAAAAAAGTTTGTTAAGCGTCATCGAAAGCACGTCTTACGACAAGGTTGAAGAAACTGCTGCAAAATTGCCGTACGGCATGTACGTGGCAAGTTACGAGTGCTTGTGGGTTTGCGCATGGCCCTAATTTGGCCATATGTATGTGGTATAATCGAAAATTAAAACTAAATTAAAATTTTAAGAAGAACTTGAGTAAGCAGTTTACTGAAATATATTCCTGAAACTTTTTTCTTAAAAGTTTTGGTTTCTTAGAATATAGATCGTTGATGATATCATGATATTGATGTTTAGGACTACTATTGTTTGACCGGTGACCGAACACTTCCTCACACTTCATGTATTTGTTTCTAGATGCTAGACGTCGCGACACGACCTGTTGCTTAAAAAATACCGTTTTGTTTCTCGCCGTGAACCTGGAAATTAACAAGCAAACAAGATTTTTGTGGTAGATGTAATAGCTTGCATCAACGGACATAGATCGCGCCAGGAGTTTGCTCATGCGAAGGATGATCACGCATTATGTTAGTATTCTTCGTATTAATTAACAGAGGTCGCACCACTTTATAAAGCTGTCTTCTAATGGGGTTTAAAGGAAACTCTCTTCTTTAGGCGATATACACATGACATAATTTGTGATAATGCAGTATGAATATTAGTCCGTGCTGAATCAGGTTGCCTTGACTTAAAGACGAAGGAGAATGCTATTGTCAGTTTTAATGAAACAAGAATGACCACTATTTCACTGCCTTTAACTGGATGTTTTAAAACACGTATTTGTAAAATTAAACCAATTGATAAGGATGATTTAATAGGAGGCAGCGTAACCCAGACGTCTAACTAACGTTTCACGACGAAAATTACATTTTGCGAAGAAGATAAAAAATGATTTGGGCAACGTCGGTACTCCGCTACAACAGGAGGTTTGTCTAAAAACGTGACCCTTGCAACATAAAGAATTTTTACTAGCTTTAGAATTATCCCAAAACGCCAGTTTATGTGTTCTAGTCAGACCTTCATAGGATCATTTTATCGTCACGTAACGAGTGCTTAAACCCTTAACAATCACAAAATGTCAAACCTTGCTCACAAAAATTTAGAAAACTTCACTGCGGTTGGAATGCAATTTATTTGAACACTTTCAAAACTAGCTAGACATACGTTCTCAAAAACCACCGGACTAGCATAAGAAACTTCACTCTTTAGCAGCCATCCGTACTTCCATATGATCCCGAGATAACTGAAAGCCTGAAAAAGAATCAAATTCTCCATTATACCAGTGCTTTAATGTTTTTATTTCTTTGCAGTTTTTCACTATTATTAAAGCGGATTGGGAGCACTGGGTAATTTAAGCTGAAAACCTATGATTGGAACTCCTGGTATCAACAATATAAATTGGGCTTTTCTTTTCTAGGGGCTGACAGGGACCGGCAAAGAGTATTCCCATAATCATACAACAAGCCTGTCTGTTGCCTGTTCTGCAGCCATCCAATGATGGACATTTCCGTAGTGGACGCAGAACTGCGACAATCTAAGTTGGACAAACAGCGCGACCTTCTGATAAAAAAGCGCAAACAAAAGCACGCTCATCAAGTCCTCTCACTGCACGAAAAGTCTCTGAAAGCCGCCGTTGGCACGGCGCCACGAAGCCCAAAGTCTGCGAAGCACTTAGAACGGGCCTCTGCTGATAACAATGAGCAGAATTATTATGGTGTGTTTTGGTCTCGATTGTAATTTATTTTAGTACAGTGTTATTTGTTAAACCTAACAGGCAGTTAATAATGTTCTGTAAAGTCATATCTGGACGTATTTACCTGTATGTGGGTCCTTCAGGAAGTTTAACTCGGGATTTTGTAATTAATCGAGGACATTGCATAATGATGTTCAGTTATTTATACCGTCTATTCAGAAATTGATGCATGTTTACTTATTTCGGCAGCAACTTCAATCAATCGAATAAACAGTAAATGATTAATGCGAGAGAAGTCAATGATGTTACCAGACTGATAAAGTCGAATAAGGCTCATACAGCAGTTTTTTTGGACGCATTCATGTTCTATTCAACAAAAAATGCATCCGCCTATTATAAACAACCCGGAACGCGACGTATTTTGACGTTCCCAGCCGACAAACACAAGTTAAGTTTGCTTCTATTGGGTGTACGGTATCGGTTGGAGCGCCTCATGTGGTCTAACTTACGGTATACTAGAATGTTTCTCAGAAACCTAGGTCACAATATACCTCGAGAAGCCACTGAACTTAAATTTCTGTAGGCAGTAGGGAGCAGAGTTTTCTAAGAAAGAGTGCCACTTGCGCTGGAACGAACTTGCAGCTGTCCAACTAGAAGGATTCTCCTCGCAAGCCTGGGGATACCATGTGGAACACTTGAATGGATCTGACTGACAATGGTGGTGATCCCCTAGGTCTGACCAGCGTTTTTACAGTTAAGGAAATACAGAGCCGTTTGTCAAGGCCATTTCAATTGCAGAAGGTTGAAAAGTGTTACTAAATTAGGGGATATGGGACTCATAACTCTGTTCTGCGGCATTTCGACCTGAAAATACACTCTTTTTTCTTGGTTTCCCTAAATTGGTTTGCTCTGAAAATTTGATGTCATGCCTTCAGGACTGATTATAATGCGCTTTGTTTACTGGAGGAGGCGGCTCGCGTTTGTTTTGTAGTTCCTTGAATTTTTCTTTTCATATTTTGTGAAAGCCTGCAGGAAATTCGTCCCAGATATAATCTTTCTGTTGGCCCCCATACGTCATTAAAGGGAATTAGCCGTTTGACAGAAGAAGCACTTGTGCGTACATTTCAAAAATACTGAAAATTCGACGATTTTAGAATCTAATGACTGTCGATTCGTTACTACCCTTTTTGCGTTGGGCATCTCCTACACGCTTAACACCTCTACGTCGAACACCTAGCTAGCTTTAAATACGCCAGTGGCTATTTCCTAGTTGACTGCAGTCCTGTGTTCCATGGGCTCGCTTATGCGGCAAGGTGGAGGACACATAGCTCCGGGCTCGTGTGTCGTGACGAACAAAAGGTCATGCATCTGGACACTGGTAACGTTTGCAGAGATACGCATGCTTCGGCCGTTAAAGCTATTTACGTTGGTTTGATACATATCGTGGATTTTTGAGTGCTCCACCGGGTGGCCGAAAAGGTAAGCATGGAACGGATTGGCCGAATAAGTAATGCCGTTTTATACCTTCCTGATAAAGGCACTTGAAGTCAACCTAAAGTGTTCGTCTACATACCACATATCCCCATATAGGACACTGTGAAGGGCGAGAAATACCATAGATGTGGATTTTGATACTAGTCGGGTCATCACCCAAAACGCATTATTTGTGGGCCGCTGCTCTGTATTGAGCATCCGTGTGAAGTTCAGAGCAGGTCGAGGTCAATGCTTATTTTGGCCTGCAGTCCGCTATGCATCCTTTCGAGCATTAACCGTGGTCGACTGCGGACGCCCCGAAACTGCGCACTGCAGCTGTCAAGATTGCGTATTTCCGCTGACTTTTACCTTGCTCCATCCGATTCGAGACTCCGATTACCCGTGAGCTCTAACCGGCATTGGTGGCAGTGAAGAAATTCATCAGTTCGATGAAGTCCCTTCTAGTTGACGTCTGTACCTAAAAAATGCGACTATTCTGCACTGATCATGTGTTTTGCATCGGGTCCATAAGACTAGTTTCTATCTGATAGGAAATGTCAGGTTTGGGAATAAGATAGGATCGCTGAAGCAAGAAAATTTTCCGCCTGGCGTTTCGGATGCTCACATCAATGAACCGCCGGATACAGTCATAGATAAGAAGTGATGGACTGTGACAGTCTCTGACGGGGGGACGGAGATGGGACAAGTAACGCTCTATAGCTCGCGTTTTTGCTCATGTCTGTAACTCCCGCGTCTCTGTCCGTCATTCTTGGTGAACTGATCTTGTTGCCGCCTGAACGCTCCGGAAATTCTGTAACAGCAGTTCAGATGACCCCTCAGAGCATACTTCACTTGTTCAAAGCATTTTTCTTTTCTTCGATGGAACTTTATTTCATGCCCTATTTCGCCCTGAAAGCCTTGTCCAGGCGCCCATAATCAGCTTTTTATCGCTTTCCCTCCGAAAACTAACAGTACTGTCGTATCAACCGTTTCGTTCTTGGGAGACGAGGGTCCTAACTTTCGGTTAAAAAATCATCTTTTTCGTTGACAAACCATGTTGGTATTTATCCCAATCGATAAGTAGTTAATGAATCACCAGTGGTAAGAATGAAGCTCCATCCAGCGTCCTCTTCTTGCGGCTGCAAAAAAATACGATATTAGGGACGGGAAGATTCAGCCTCGGGTAGGTGTTCGGAGACCCATTTTTGCTACGGTCGCTAACAACGTGAGGAGCGCATATGCTGTCTAAGGGTTGCATGGCTTGTTCCAACTTCGGCACAGGATTCGGGGTGCCTGAATGAGATCCTTAGGCAGTATTTACATTCTTCTAGAAGCATTCCTACACATAGTCACGGACTGTCAGTATGGAAGAATGGCGAATTTCATAGCCGCTGAATGAGTCTTGTCACGAGATGATAATCGTTAATTTCCCCCGGGGAGAGGGAGAAAAACAGCTTCCAAACGGACCTCCTTGATGGACAGTAGTTTCGAATAAAACGTATCCTGTCCGGTCTGCATTGGTTTTCTCCTGTACCGATAGTTCGATCTTGATGACGGTAGTAATTTCTACCCTGTTCCGACAAAATTTGAGAGCAACCATATCGTCTCCCGTTTCAGATCGACTAGCCGCGGGCATTGTCTAGAAGCTAGTCGATGCGGCACAGTAATGGAACCGGCTACTGATCGTAGTTGCGGTGTCTGGACCGCGTTTACTTCATCCAACTACCACAACCGGCAGTGTGTGTGGAAGATGATAGAAGTAGCAATATAAAGGCTGATGGCTATGTTCAGCTCCCATATTTAGTCTCTAAAAACGAGACACTAATTTTTTTGGCCGATTTAGCTGCTAGTAGCCTGCAGATCCTGTCATATGGTAGTAATGGGATTTTACGGTTAGGTGAGAGTGCCCAAAACGCAAGATCCAACGCAAAAAGGTACTGACGAACGAACTCTGGCTTGCGATACGTGGTTAGTGTGCTGTTGCTTTATTGCTAGAAAGATAAAGACCCTCTCATTGGGAACAAAATAATAGTAATCGGGAGCGAACGAAGCTCGCAACCCCTGAAATAAGTTGAGAACCCAAATGGTACGATCGCTTGTCGACTGTCTGAGCTGAGATCACGGGGAGTATGACAGGATCTACAGGCTACCAACAGCTAATTGGCGTCCTTCAGCCTATCGTTGCCATTGTTTGGTCTTCCGGAGCAAGCGAACCCAATCTGACAAATATTTGCATTGATGTGGCAGCTGAAAAAGTGCCTCAATCCCACCTATAGATCTCCTGCACCGTGTGGGCGCGATCAGCATCGGTCACATTACTCCTCCCCCCTCCCACAACAGGCTGGGCTGTAGATGGGCTGAACCATAAGGCGAGCCAGACTAACTCATGGTACGCGTTTATCAAAATGCGCTGAGTCCGCATGGGCACGCAATCAACACCATATATGTGTACAGTTGATGGGCTAATTCATGAAATGTCAACCGAAATTCCAAAATGCGTTTTCGTTTCGAAAAGATTAATTAAGTAGGGTTGTAAAAATAGTCAGCCTGCAACATAATTTTAAAATACTTTAGTTACCCCAGGATGCAGGCATTCGAATGAATTTCCTTCCGACTGCGTGCAAAAACTACACCCAGTAAACAATGACTACTTATGCAGCATGACTTTTTCTCATTGATTTTCGATGCCACTAAAAGTTCTGAAAAGCATGCATAAAAATATTCATTTTTTTGCCCATTCGGTAGAAATTTACGTCTTCTTCTAATTCGATACTCGAAGGAGAGACATAATTCGGTCTTAAAGTTTCTAATTGTGGAACTTTTAAATACCGTGAAATGGCCGTTCACAAATTCTCATATCTCTGCACTTACCAATATGGCTCGTAAAGTCAACAATGAGGATCAAATCCACTGCCTAATTTTATGAAACCTGTATGGTTCCGCTTTATTACCGTAGAGAAATGTGCGGTTTTTCGTACGCGGAAAATATAATGCTTGTAGTTTGTAAACCCTGAATCCAAGCGTGCCGATAGAGCGGGTTCAAAATTAATCGGGAATTGGAAATATTTTCGAAAACAGAATTATGTCCCTCCTTCGAGTAAAAAATTAGAAGTAGATGTAAGTTTCTACCGAATGAGCAAAAGAATGAATATTTTTATTTATGCTTTCCATGAAATATAATTGGCCTTTAGGGGCATCAAAAATCAACGAGAAAAATGCATGCTGCTTAAGTAGTCATTTTTTACTGAGTGTAGTTTTTGCATGCAGTCGGAAGGAAGTTCGGTTTTAAAGAAGTTTCTAATTGCGAGACCTCTTAAGATCGTGAACTATTCATTCATACAACATCGCATCAGCGCTTTCATCAATGCTTTTTACAAAGTATACAACATAGCCCATAGCAACTGCACAACTTCACGAGTCCCATATGACGTCGTCTTAAGAGCGTAAATAGATGTATGATAATCTTTTGATGGAATGTATGCAGCGTGTAGTCTGTAAACTCTGAACGCACATCTAGCGACAGATGGGATAGAAAATTATTTGGGGGTTGAAAAAGTGTTGAAAAACCCAAAAGGGACTTGCTCTACAAATAGAAATTTTAAAGACTTAAGTTGCTGCCAAATGAGTGTAGGAGAGCATACTTTTGTGCGCGTCTTCTATGTAATATATTTGAATCCATAAGGGCACCGGAAATCACTGGGAGATCATACTGCTTAAGTAGGCATTTTTACAGAGTGCAGATTCTTCAGACGGCCGAAAAGAAGCTCATTCAAGAGCTGGTAGCCTGGAGTGACCGAAATATCTTAGGGCTATACTGCCCGATAATTAATATTGCAACCCTACAAAAATAATCTTAAGTGAAGAAGAAGCGTCGAGCACCGGAACACTGTTTATTGTCCTGAGCTTTCAGACTCGTACAGGAGTCCATCGGCAGAAATAGTAGCAGCAACAGAACAAGCGACATTTATAGGGCATGTAGGTCAATCATCGACCGACGGCGCAAGACTGGAAGTGACTACGCAGGGTTCTGTACGCCGCCGCCAGGTCGATAAATCGATTGACTGAGTTCTCATCCGAGGTTCAGGCTTCAATCAATTCTCGGCCTGTTTTGTTTCCGGCGTGGGCGACTATTTTATTGGCTGCGAGGTTAAACTCGTGACACATTTCGTAGGGGTGGGCGGCCACTTGTGATAATGCGTCGCCTCGTCGGACAGCCAGTTTATGTTCGTGTATGCGCGATCTGAGCATGCACCCAGTCTGCCCTGTGTAGTTACAAGGACGGTTTTGACACGGAATGTGATACACTACTTCAGATTGCTCGTCAGGCTTCAACCGGTCTTTAATTCTCATTACCCTATTGCGCATGGTGGCTTTTGGGGCGGTTTGCAATTCCAACACCTAGCTCGGCAGCAATGCGCTCGGTCATTTCTGAAACGCCCTTGATGCATGGCAGAGAATGCCATATCGTCGGTGATGTTGATCATTCGATTTATCGATCTGGCGCTGGCGAACAGAACCCTGCGTGGTCACCTCCAGTCTTACGCCTTCATTCGATGATTGACCCACATGCCCTAAAACTGTCGTTTGTCCTGTTGCTGCTACCACCTCTGACGCTGGAGGCCTGCAGGAGTCTAAAAACTCAGGACAATAAACGAAGTGTTTCGGTGCTCGACCCTTTTTCTTCACTAATGCATACACCTGGAACTCAAAATTTCGCATTCACACGTTTATTATCTGAGATTAAGCCATCAGCACTTGCTCGGGTTTCGGTTGTCGGACAATCTGCGTTCGGAAGGCCGCATATCGGTGTAAGGATTTGTTATTGGCTGTCTATTGCGTTAGTGTGGTGCTTTGTATCTCAGCAAAACAAGCGGATAAGGAGAAAGAAATTTCTCCCCTTAAGTCCAACACTATCGAGCTACGATGTTAGTTCTCCCATGCTTTTATCAGATGACGACTTAGAGTCCTTGTAGTGCACATTCATACCGTCCTATTGCCTGTTGACTGCTACTTACAGTGAGTGACCGGTCTTATGAAATGTTGGCTGAAATTCTGCAATGCGTTTTCTATTAGGAAGAATTACTTAAGTGGGGTTGTTATACTGATTATCATGCAGCATAACCCTATAACATTTCGGATATGGGCTTTGAAGTGCACTTCTTTTTAATCTCCTGTAGAAAGCGTGCTCGGTAAAAATGACTACTTATGTAGCATTCATTTTTCCCATTGATTTTCGAGGGTCTTGGAAATTTAAATATATTTTATAAAAACCATTGACGAAAATATGCTTTCTTTTAGTCAATCAATAGAGAATCACGTCTTCTTCATATTTAATACATAAAAAAGAATTATAATTAGGTTTTAAAAAAGTTTCTAATTATGAGACTTTTTAAGACCACGAAATGTCCATTCACATAGCATCGTACCTGGCCGTTTACGACTGCTCCTCTTGAAATGTACAACATAGTCCGTATCCATTGCAAAATTTTATAAACTCTGTATGGTATCTCTTTAATGGCATAGAAAAATATGTGATTTTCTTCACGCGGAACGCATGCACCTTGTAGGCTGAAATCATTAAGTGCTAATGCTACGAATGATCAGGCTCCAAATTATTCGGCAAGTAGGAAACTTTTTTAAAACCTAATTATACTCCTTCCTTAAGTGTAAAATATAAAGATGACGTGATTCTCTATTGAGTGACTAAAAGAAAGCATATTTTCGTCAATGATTTCTATAAAAATATATTTAAATTTGCAAGACCATCGAAAATCAATGGGAAAAATGCATGCTTCTTAAGTAGTCATTTTTTACCGAGTACGCTTTCTACAGGAGATTAAAAAGAAGTGCATTTAAAAGATGATGTACTGCCGAGTCCGAAATGTTATAAGAGTATGTCGCAAGATAATCAGTATTGCAACCGCGACCAAGTAATCCTTCCTAATCGAAAACACATTTCAGAATTTCAGCTAACATTTCATGAGATCGGTCACTCACTGTAATTGGACGTGCTCATAAAGGTTAGCTGAAAGACTTCACAAAGAAAGAACACTAGTCTTTACGGCGATGATGCAACGAAGCGCATGTCCCTGCAAGAACACTCTGCTTTTTGGGTCTTTGCTGGCGATGACCAAATAAACGATCCCAGCTGTGTTATCGAAGAAGACTGCGCCGATGCATTAGATCGCAGAGGATGCAAATCCGAAAATGTGATAGCATCCGAAACCTTCAAGCGTACGTGCCAGACGAAGTTCACTAGGGGCGCGGGAAGCCGACACTTCCGAATGGTGATGGGTAGGAACTGAGGTTCCCAGGGGTCAATAAGAACCGCAGACAACGGAACCGGCTCTGCACTACCGGTGACCTAAATCAAGCCTATGTGCATCCTAGACGTTAGTTGCGGAAAAGTCTGCGCTCAGACAGACGGTCAAGGCAAAGACTATGGTTTGGTGCACCCTGGCTGAGCTGGAAAGATCACTCCCTTAATTTTCCATCTGTTCACTTTTAACTGCCTTGGGCATGGTTTTGTTTGTGCATCTCCTAAAGTCACCGTCTGTGACTTCGACTCTCGGTCGCTTTCTGTTGCCGAAATTCCAGCACTAGCTAGACACGCATAAAACAGTGAACCTCAAAGGATGAACCAGATAACAAAGTCAGGGTAAGGTAATTTTCAAGCGGCTAGAGCCGATATTTCAGTGGATGCGGCTGACGGCAGACACCCCTCTAGGGACTTCTTGCCACCAAAGGGGAAGAAAGAGCTTGGTCCAGCCGGAAAGTGTCTGCAGTTATTCATCAAAACCGATTGTATACTGCATGAATGGCACATATGAAAAGGGTTCGAAGAAGTTTGAACTCTCAGGGGGTTTACACCAAAAGGGGTATTGCCTAGCAAGGAATTTTGCTATGAACTGCTGCACTCACGCGACCAATGGCCGCGCTAGTTTCAGAATTGGCCTATGCAAAGCTGCGAACGTCCCGACAACAACGGGTCCTTGTCCACGTTTATCTGCAAATTACGGAAATCGACTTTCGGCCGTCAGGAGGCCAATGTGACTACTTCGCTAAAATCACCAATGCTCGGTGGCAAGCTCGCTGACCTGTTTACCTGTGTGATAAATGGGATTGGTGGAACTGACTTATGTGGCTCCTTAAATAGGACATGAAAACAGGAACCGCTTACATTACTGGTGGCTTTGTGCCAACTTCCAGCGAAGTTAGGATTAGGTTTAAGATTAGGGCTAGTATCAGGTTAAGGATTAGGTTAAGTGCTAGAATTAAGATTAGCGGTAGGGAAAGTCGGGCTCAAGTTCAGGGTTGTGCTAGGATTTAGTGTTAACTGCAGAGTTAAGGTTTAGAGAAGGGTAAGGGTCACTATTTGGGAACAGTTTTCTTTTACATTAAGGTTACTGTTGGGATTAGGACATGTAAATATTTTGCCCTCATCAAAATTATGCGCAGATTCACCGTTAGTAACTGGGCGAAGCGTTCCTATCCTCATGTCCCGTTTGGGGAGTCATATAAGTCGGTTTTGCCGGCTGGTTTTCATTCCGTATTCAGAGCCTGGATTCTAGCTTAGAAACTTAGGATGAATTGAGATGCTACCACACTTCTAAAGGCGAAAATAAGTGAGGCTTGAATGGCCAGTTCGGTCGTATTTGTCAGCATCTGTCGCTAATAACTCAAACCATGTTACGGCGAACGCGTTATCTTCTTATGCTTGCGATCATGGAATCAAATTGGGAAAGTTGTCGCCTGCCTTTATTGGGATCCCGGTTCGATAATTAAATTTTGCTCCGAGGCTCGAGGAATGCGACGAAAAGAAAGCGACGCTCACGACTGGCTGTGATAATCCAGGTTGTTGCCATCGTAGACGGTCTGAAAAATGTGGGCAGTTTGTCGAATGTTGTTGCAGACAGGGATAGATAGAAGAAAACCCGAGTCGGAGGTGCGTTTTGAAAGTCTTTAGCGTCAAGCTTATTAACTAAGTAAATCCTCCTTCAAACCTCAAATCTACACGGCCTTTGGTCTGTTCCAGTTGGACTGCCGACGTCTGATTAGACATAATGTTAGTTGAAAATTTCAATGATATGTCGAGTTTTGGACCTCTTTGTACTCATCGGAGGACATTCCTCATCTGCTTCTTATCATTTTCTGCACCCACATTATTAAATTGATTTAAATTTACCACGTCCCGCGTCCGTTTCAAAAGAACGCGAATTACTGTATGCCTGGTTAGCAATGCCCTGCTGTTAACCGTAATTTGTCGTCCTTGGTCGCATTAATCACCGTTTCGGTTAAATTATTCAAAATGACTGAGGCCGTGAAGTTAAACCGGAAAATCGTAAAGTTAATTAACAGAAAGAATTTGCTACAAATGCATCCCAGTTTGCTTTCTTGTTGTTCCCTTTTTACGACAATCGGTTTTCTAGACTACTTCAGGTAGCGGAAAAATACACGCATTTTTATCTGCCTAAAACCTAACAATAGGGACTTTTTTGAAAACTAAGCAAACTCAAACAACGCTCTCCTCACTTCAAATAAATTACCCTGTTTTCCGCATTTAGTGCGATATTTACGTATACTGCCAGGCAATTGCGACAACGGAGTACTCACCACCGAAGTCTTTATTTCTTTCACTCAAAATAGAGCCAATATTCGACCACCAAGTGTTATTACACAACAAGGGCTGTCGTGCAGCTTTCGCTGCCACAAATGAGCCCGTTCGGCAGTCTTTCCTCTTTCAACAGTGATTGTCTATTTAGATCGGCTATTTGCCACCCGGTGTTAATGATAGGACGGCCGTGTCTTACTTCGTTAGGACAAAATGCAACCTGAAAATCCAAGCCCTATTTTCCGAAATTTCCAGAAAAAATATTTTTTGCAGTTCCTGACGTTCGAAGCGTGTACCTTCTGTCCTTGTAACGTCAATCTTCAGTGAACACCATGTCTGGTTAAGAGTCACCATAAAACCTAATTACATACTAACAAATCCACACAAAGCTTACTAACTCTGAGTGGCTTTTTCGGCTTGAACAGTTTCATATAAAAACATTCCGGAAAATATTGTTTGGGCCGGTTTATAGTAGAGTCAGTGCAGCTGATTTTGTAGACAGCTTTTCGAAAGCTGTTTTATCCCCGTTATAAGGTCGTTGGAAAGATTATAGAGGACAGATTTACAGCTGCCTAGCGTGGATTGGATCGAAGACAATCTGTACCCTCTGATCGGACATATTGCAGCAAAAGTAGCCGTCGTATACAGTGCCTTTCGCGTAATCAATCGGAGTGACGTATCATCACTCAAATTCAGCACGGCAAGTCGTTATCGCAAAGACAGCAGTGACGGCCAACAGAGTAGAGAAGTTCCCTATGCACAGGAAAAACGGCTGTATGACTTTACCGTTTATCTCGGCTCAACGTATCTCCTCTTCACGCTGATATTTTCCATGTCTCAAATCATGTGTTCTACGAGCTCGCGCCTTTTTTCACGCCCTACCAATAATTGCGATCTTATCAGGAACTACAGTAGGTGGCTAAACTCATGAAATATCGATCGAAATTTCAAAATGCGCTTCCGTTTAGAAAATATTAATAAAGTGGGATTGTAAAACTAAACCTCATGCAGCATAATTCTATAACAATTCAGTTACCTCAAGGTGCCGAACTTTGCACAAACTTCTTACCGGCTGCATGCATAAACTACACTCTGTGAAATGCTTACTTAAGTAGCATGCATTGCCCTTATTGATTTTCGAAGTTCTTAAAAATTCAACTATATTTAATGAAAAGCATACATGAAAATATTTATTATGCGGCTCATTCGGTAGAAATGTGCATCTTCTTTCATTTTATACTCGAAGAAAGGGTACTATTCGGTTTTTAAAAGCTTTTAGAATTCCCAAATAATTCTGAACCCGACCTGCCTTGCATTCAGGGTTTCCAAGCTGCAAGCCGTATATTTCCCGCGTACGGAAGACCATACATTTCTCTACGGCATTAAGAGGAGCCTATATGGGGTTCATAAAATTTAGCAGTGGATTGTATCCATATTGTTAAATTTACAAGCCCCTTTGGTAAATGCAGAGACTTGACGTTTTGTGAACGAACATTTCACGGCATTAAGAAAGCACACAGCTAGAAACTTTTTCAAGAATTTTTGAAAATCGAATTATGCACGTCCTTTGAAGAAGGAAGAAGACTTATTTTTCTACCAGAGGAGCGACAGAATGAATATTTTTATGCATATTTTCCAAGAAATATAATTGAAATTTTAAGGGTACTGAAAATCTGTGAGAACATGCACTTTACTTTAGTAGTTATTTTTATAGAGTACGGTTTTTGCATGCAGTCGGAAAGAAGTTCTTTCCAACGCCAGCATTCTGAAGTAACTAAATCATGATGGAATTATGTTGCATGAGAATTAGTTGTACAACCCCACTTAATTAATCCTTTCGAAACAAGAACGAATTTGGAAAAATTTCGGTTGACATTTCATGAGTTAGCACACCTATTGTATAAGGGAAGAGGATGAGTCACGCCGGACTGGATACTGCTAGACCTTTTTGCACCATCGGCCCCTAATATCCCAACCCCCAAGGGCCGTCACACCCGAGGGTTGATGTGAGAATCATTCTACCTGAACTTCCGGAACGCGTGTTCGGTAGAGCGTGGTCGAAGGTATGAAAATTCACATGGGAGCAGCGTTTTCCAACCCATGTTAATTGCAGGATAGAAATGGAGCCCTTGAAAGAATGCTGAAGTTCATTCCGATACTTTGACCTTTTGCGTATCCGGTAATATGATTATGCCAAATCACCTAACCATCGGTAAATTCTGCGTTTACTAATTACTAGAGGAATGGTATCCCCGGTCATCCAAGGATACCTAAAATATGTGATTTGTTTAAGCTGACGTCAGCAGCTGTGAACTTGAACTAGGATAACGGAAATACTGACAATGTGAAATGTGAGCAGCGCTGGCATATTAAATCTTTCAAATTTACGTTATAATGCATGTTTTCTGAGTTGAAAACTTTATTGTAATAGAATTATTACAAGACTGGCGTATTGGATTATCTTTAACAGTCCATCCTAAATGCCCAAGCATGACGAACTCGTCATATAAATTAATGTCCTTTAGCCTATGACGGTCCTCAGTCCTACAACCTCGGCAATCCAGATCTCCTTGAGACGCCATCTGTCCAGGTTCTCCGTATCGCGCGGAATTCATCACAGGACGATAACTCACCAAAGGAGCACAACGCCGGAGGCCTTGGTGAGCAACATGTGTCCTTTTTCTCGAACTTACACTTTTACTTCGAGAAAATTCCCAGTTATTGATTTTAGAACGTGTTTTAGGGAGGACATGTTCTATAGCCAAAATATAGTTAGCCGAATTTCCCCGCGGGATAATGACTGGCAATCGCCCTTTTATTTAACAAGTATGTCCCAATCCCCACACTCTCGAATCGCCTTGCAGTCAGTGTTCCAAACTGCCAGTACCACCACAAGACAGTAACACCATCTAATCGTGAACCAGACTTATAAGCGTAGGGCCTGCACGAAATTTACCGGGGAGTCTTGTTCGTCTAACTCTAGTTTGTTCCATACCTTTGAAAAATTGTTGCACCATGTTTATAAGGACGTACATCGTTAATCAGGATGGCAGAGAGAGCATAATTACACGGGAATTACTGTCATTTGGTTTCGGGCGGCTAAAAGCACGCTACAGGCTTGTCAAAATTATACAGCCACGCCGGGTGGAAAGAAAATAATAACTTACGAACACAGACCCCAAAATTTGACTTCTAAAGGGCGCGCTGGCTAGTCTTTTGCAACGCCACTTGTTTACGGTGTATTGATAATTGTTTTTTAGGACATTCCGCAAAAAATGGTGTCCTGAAACAGGGGTTGAGCAAAAAAACTCATAGACACGAGCAAAGTAGTTGTTTACGAAGTTTGTACTTTACCTAGACTTAAATGCGCGCCAGCTGGAGTCTTAAGCGGGATTCGTAGTTTCTAGCCATTTTTGATAGCTGATGTCGCTTGAGTGCTATTGACCCTTATGCCTCTCTCTTATGGGACGAGTGGGGATTTTACTGATAGCAAAATGCTTAAATAACGTTTCCTCTAATGCTTAGTTTTGGACCGACTGGACAATCGTTTTTATGTCAACCTTGGTTATTGCACTCAACCCTCTTTACCACCATCCTAAATTTGGTATTTCTGGGTGCACGAAAATCGTCCTACTTTTAGCATTCGTCGGGTCTGCATACTTGTGCTGTACATTAGATAGCAAACTGTTATTTAAAAGGGAAAGCAAAAACTGTTGATCTTTTTTACTTTCATCGGAAACGAATGCGCGCAACTGGAGTTAATCGTTCGGGCATAACATTTTCAGGCTACGTCCAAACTTTGGCAGGAATATCCGGGCCGGAATCGACCAGTTACTGCAAAATAATCGCGTAACATTTACTTGAATTCAAAACGCAGTCAGTAGTATGCATAGTAGCTTATTTACAGCTACATATTGGCATAAGTCCATACACAAGAGTGGACCATCTTGTACAAATGAACTATAGCGGTCTGCAAGCTTAATTCGAGCAAAGGCGTATGTATAAAGCATAGATCCCTAGGTTTTTCTGTTTCTTCGCCTGACGATGGAGACGTTCGTCTACTTCTCGCGATTGCATCGTAGAGTACAGATATTCCGCTTTGAATCGTAAGTTGGTCAAAATAATCGAGAAATGCTGTTTTCTGAGGACGCAGAATGCCGGAATGGCAGTTTCAAAGCTATTATCCGTGATCAATCAGCGGTAAACAGTAATTAGAGTTCTGTCAAGTCTGTTGGGATTAAATTGCTCGGGTTCGAATCCAAGTATTTGGAAACCCTGTACAGCTGACCTGTAGTGTGCATGCCAGTGGTTCCTGCCTTGTCGATAAGTTGTGTGTATTTTTTGATTCAACTCAGTACGAACGGAGATGAAAAGGACGATCGAATATCATGCAGTTTATGGTTTTTTTAATACCAGAGAAAATCACAGCATCAGAGGTTCCTGCTTGCGTGAGTAAAGTATATCATTGTACGATTCCTTCGCGGTTATTCGGTCAGAAGGTTAACTACGGAATTGCGACCTGGAGGGGGCATTTCAGGTTAAAGAACATGAAAGATAGAATAGTGAAGACGTATCTTTTGGCGGACGAACTAAGAATTAGCGCTGCACTCTACGATGTGGGCTCAAGACGCTGTCGTATACAGCTTATTACCCAAACCCTAGTTCAGGTAAAAAAAAGTATCCTTTCAAACTCCCTGACCTACCTTAATTTGTAAAGCTACAGGAGCGCAAGTGAAGTCTGCAGGAGCATAGACACTTCTTTATTCAAATAACGGCGACTTAATTGTAAACGTTCTGACAACTATTCATTTGAACTCGCTCAAGTCTGGTGCCTCTTTGTTTTGAACATACTCGTTTTGCTAGGAGCTCGTCCATAGCACTTGTATGCGGCTATTGACTATGTAATGAATGCTAACAAAAGCAGCGGATAGATATTTCTGATTTAATTACTAGGTTCGCCCCTGGACATCCAAACTTCAAAACGTAAAAGCACGTTTCATCTTGTGAGTAACTTGTTGAATTGTCACTAGGCTATGACTGATTGTTTTAGATGGCGGCTGAAACTAAGTAGACCCCAGGTCCTTCTGCTTCCTAATATGATCCCAAAGTTCATAGATTGACTACATTCATTTAACATCCTAAGTGCAGGTGGGAAACATCTAACTCATGACTGTCAGTTAACTAGATCGTGGCTTTCAAGTACCTGTTTATTCTAGGATATTTTAGGAAAGCGTCGGACAAAAAATCAATATTCAAATGCGCCAAGCTCTGCCTAGTAGAACTCTCAAGAGTATATTATTACCCTCTAAAAGGTAAATACACTCAGGTGCGCACCCGGGTCCAGGAAAGGTAGTAGCATAGAAAATTGGCCAAAGATATCACAACGTCTGTTTTTAATCACATTTATGAACATTTTGCTTGATTAGATTACGTGGACACATTAACTGCTTGAAAAGGATATTTCTTCAAAAGGACTAGACGAGGGAGCAATGTGCGTATTGTTTAAGACGTTTGGAAATTCTCTAATCATTTTCTGTCATCAGGTTTCTTAGGAAATGTTTTAAACTGTACATTGTTGAGTATTGAAAATAAGCAAGATTCTTTGGGAAGGAAATAGCGTTCTATGCGTAAATCTTCGTGACTGGTTCCCCAACTTGTCGTCAGACTTTTGGGTTATGTACAAAAACAGTTAACTATTTGACCTTGTCAAGCAAGTGATTCTTTGGTTGACCGAAGACTGTGCCAATGCGCGTCAATGATTTTCGTCATCTCCTCGGCATCGGCTACGCTCGTTTCTATTTGTCCTTAAGAAATTTGTTTGTGGCATTCAAATCGACATGCCCATTGATGCATGCCTCATTTGAATGTATGGCCTCCAGGAATTCGCGGCTTTTCCTTATCGGTTGGGCGCCGACATTGCGAGTTTTCTCCCATGAAAATTTGTGTCCAGTGCCCAGTGTAAGCATAGCCACCTGGGATAGACAATCTCGTCTCTTCACCGCTAACTGAGGCTCATAGATGCGGGTAGACGCAGCTTTCCCAGTTTTGTCCCAATAGACGACATCACAACTGGAACATGGTATTTCGAAGACAACACCTTTTCTATCAAGAGAGCCAATCCTGTCCTTAGGGTGTACAAGCTATGTACGCAAGGTTGTTGTGGGTTGATGTGCCACTTGTATCTGATGCTTTTTCAGCTTTCTTTAGACGAGTTCAGATACATTTTTCATGTATGGGAGGGTCCGCCAGGTGAATGTTTTTGGTGCCTGGGTGGCCGTAGTTTTCGTTATACCTTTCCGTTTAAACTCATGCTTCATGCAATGACGAACAAAGTTGCGCGGGTACCCGTTGTGCGAAAATAATTTTAAAAGGTATTTCATTTCTGCTTGATATTTTTCTTTATGCTGAAAGTTTTGAAAGTTATTTTCAAAATAAAGCAGTCCTCTCTCTCTCTCTCTTCATCAGAGCAGTGTGTTTTAACCCGGTTTAGCAGGCTATAGTCAGTACGCCTCTTGCGAGAGATTGAATGGTTACCCTCAAAAGGTAGGATGACCTCTAAGTACGTTTTTTGCGATAAACTGAAAAGTGAAGGGGTCCGTCAACTTTTCGGCATACGAGGACATCCAAAAATGGGAGTTGTCTATCAACTTCTGTTTCGATAGTGAAATTGTTTCCTGGAAATGTGGAGTTAAGCAGGTCTAATTGGTTTTTCTTGACAACGACAAATGTATCATCAACAGTGCACAGCCGTAGTTTTGGGTTAATGTTAGGAAGAGCTATAGACTCCAGTTTCTGCATTATGGCTTCTTCTAGAAAGTCAAATATAGGCGAACCAATAGGACTACCTTCCGATTGTCGATAACATTGTTTGGCGAAAGAACAGTTGGTTTATTGACAAACATCAAGTAGTTGGAGTAGAGCGTCAGCAGGCGCATCAATAAAGTGGACCTAAAGGCGTTCTTCGGTGCAGCGTCTCGATAAATCTAATGTCAGAGGGGTGAAGAGGGAGACTACTTCGAATGAAACCATTATCTCGTCGACTGCAACACTCACTCCTTTTAATTTGTCTAGGATGTCATTTGAATCTTTAATGGAGTTTTCAGAGTCCTTTGGAAGGGGATGTAGCTGATAAATTGTTTATTATATATTCGCTCGTTATATGCGGATAAAAACAGGCTTAATAAGTAATTTATATGACAGATGCGTTTTGCGTTATGCTCTGTTTCCTTCCAATATCCATAGTGAAGTATTCCCGGTTTTAAGCATGAGATTTTCTGGTATCATGAGTTTGCTTATCAAGAATTCAGATTTTTTAGTCTACTATTGACATTTGTGGATCAGAAGCAAAAAGTGTTTAAGGCTAATGTTTACTAAGGTCAAGTTAAATCCTTTGACTGGCAAAAATGTCTTAAATATTTAAAATATCTTGCATGGAAATTTTATAACGTTAGCACGGAATAAGAAGAAAACACGATTAAATTAAAATTACCTGCTCTCGAATTTCAGCATTTTTAGGGCACAAATGCATAAAATAAGTGGCAAGGCACTAAGCATTGCGTCTACGTCAACTCTCCGGAAATGTTTAGTTTTAAACCAAAATTGTTCTTGTCTCAAGTTGGACACACCACGGGCAAATGGAAGTCCTCAGATTAAAGTAAATGAACAACCGGTACCACGTGATTTTAAAATAAAAACGGCCTTAAGGGTGTATTAGTATGTAACCTA